GGACAAGTTGGCCAATATCTAGGTGTTGTACATCCCCCTGCTAATATGTCAGTGTTCCCTCTTGACCTAGGGGATGTGTTCAGGGCACGTGTCTAAGGACTACGACATCCCAGGAGCATGACAAAGTAGAGAAAACGGTTTTCGCCTAAACAGCCTGAGGGATATATGTGTTCAGAAGGAAGATTCTGAGAGCCATTTGGGGCCAGGGATGAGAGCCTCAAGAGGGGCAATCAGGCCAGAGGATATATGCTGGCTGCCCAACATGCATCCACCCTAAAAGATTAGTCAAATCCAATCAGTTGTAACTTCAGCTGCTCAATCATGGCTCTGCAAACCAATTTTGGCCAATGTGATGTTAGTGGAAGCGGCTTCTTGCTTCTAAAAAGAGACACAGTGAAGAGCTGGTCATTGTTTTCTGGGGGTGAAGTTATGTCTGATGCCTGGAGCTGTGGCAGCTATCTTGTGATCATGAAATAGGACACTCTAAGGAAAGTGTCCCCTGCTGAGTGTAGCACACACCTGAAAATATCCTTGAACTTCTGAATCAACCCCACCTCTGGATAGCTTGTAATCTGAGGTCATAAATGACCTTGTTTAAAGCTTTAAGGGACGCTTTTTTTTTGCAGCCAGTGGCTTCCTAATGGATAAGCTTGACTGACTGTAGTGGCTCCCTCTAAGGAGCATGGCTATTGACCAACTTCAGGGCCATTGTCGGCTCAGGGGGGTGAAGATGAGGCTAGAGCAGGATTCCCTGGAACAGCAAAGGGGCCACTGCCTCTCAACACTTCCCTGGAAGCCCTCCCTCTCTCCTGTTTCCAAAGAGTGAACAAACATTGGAAACGCACTCCCCGTGCTTACTTTCGGCCCTGCACTCTTTATGTTCCTAAATGGCCTGTTTGTCCCTACTCTGTGGCTGGACCTGGTGCCAACTGTCCACTCCCCCAACCCCTCCCCCCAGGTCACCTTACGTCACCTAACGTAAACTTTGTTACACAAAAAGGCCCTGCTACTCGCCCTAGTTTCTAAAACTGCGGCATCCGAAATGAAACTTCCAAGGCAGTAAAATAATAAACTGCTTAAGCCCAGCTTCAGATTTTGCACTTTCTGAGGCAGACTTTTTTAAAAGGTGGGCCCATGGCCCATGGCCCTGGCCAGGTAGCTCAGTTGGTTAGAGCATTGTCCCCATACGCCAAGGTTGTGGGTTCAATGCCCTGGTGAGGACACATACAAGAATCAACTAATGAATGCATAAGTAAGTGGGACAACAAATCCATGTTTCTCTCTGTCTAAAATCAATATAAATAAATAATAATAATAAAAAAAGGTGGGCCCATGAACTGGTTTTGTCTTAGGGGGTCAGGCTCTCTCAGGTCTGCCCATCCTCGGGGCCGTGGCTGTGGGTGCTCTCACCAGGCGCAGCTCTGGAAGCACTTGGGCATTGGGGTCACTGCCACTGCCCTCTTTACTGTCCAGCGGCACTGTTGTCATTGCTCCTCTACTTGTGGGCTGAGATATCCCAGGTAGTGCACCCAGGCCTCTAGACTGCACTCCTGGAGAGCAGGAACTACGTCTGCTTCCCGCAGGACCTGGCACAGCGCCCGGCACAGAGACGTCAATCACTGCGTCCTCTGTCCCTCAGGTCAAGTGATCCTTTCCTCCCTGTCTAAAGCTGCTTGGGCAGGACTCGGCCTGAGACGCAAGCTGAGCAATCAGGGTCCTGGGAATTTTGAACTGCGGGGTGTGTGTGTGATTAAGTTAGGTCTGACACAGCCTTAGGGAGAGAATGAACAGATCAGGGCTGCTGCAGAGCCCCAGAGCCTGGCTGAACATCTTGCTTTTGGATTTCTCCAGGTTTCCCCTGGCTCCCCCCAGTAAACGGTTCTCATATCACTAAGTGGATAGCAGTTTCTTTCAACCCAACAGTTCCTGGCTACGCAAGATGCTCAGTAAATATTCGGTCCTACTCCCATTCTCTCGTTTCGCCAGCATCCTTCCCAAGGCCTCGCACATCCAGTGGGGCCGAATTAGAACGGCCTCCCACTTACTGAGACCTATGCTATCTAGTCATGAGATACTTCTTAGCAATGCAGATCCCTGGGCCCTGGCTCCAGGAATTCTGGGTCAGTAGGTTGGGGCAGGGCCTAGGAAGATGCATTTTGAGTAGGAAACAAGGGGTGTTAGGACCACAGATTGAGAAAAACTCATTTAATCTTCAAAGAAACTTATCAGGCAGTGTAGTAACAGCTTCTGAGATGCCCTCGGGTGATCCCTGACTTCTGGTGTCCACGCCTGTGTGTATTCCCCTCCCACACTGAACCTCGCAGCCCGTGTGGCCTGTGGCAAGGATACTGTGGAGACGCCAGTGGGCTTCCAGCTCTAGGTCACAGAAGACACTGCAGCCTCCGCCTCGCTCACTCTTAGCTGCCACATTGTGCGGACACTCGAGCAGCCCTGAGGAGAGGCCCACTCACAGGGAACAGAGATGCCCGGCCCACAGCCAGCACCCCTTTGACAGTCATGGAGGCAAATCCTCCAGTTCTAGAACTGGCCAGTATCCCCACTCCCTGCTCTCCCATGGTCCCTCGTTCAGAATCCCACATGGCTGTGTTTTTGCTACATTTCCCGCTGCAGACGGGCAGCAGCTGAAGACACACTGTCAACACCAAAGCCGATGGCCCAGGTTGGAGCTTTAGTTCTCAGCCCAGGGGCACCTGCTTCCACGGGTTCTTAGGTAGCTTGTGCGTGAGATGCGTGCCCCCAACTCCTGCCCCCACCTACACCATGGGGCCACAACCTGGGCATTTCTGACTCCCGACCTTCTCCTAAGCTGTGAAGCAAGGGTCCAAAAGGCCAGCCCCTGGCTTTACTTCATTGGAATTGTTAACAACCACCTAAAAGGAAGGCGCCGTTACTATCACCCCCTCATCTTACAGCTGGGAAAACTGAGGCACAGAGCAGTTTCAAGATCACGTGGCTCCAACAGGCGGAGCTGGGGTTGAGCCGGGTGTTCCGGCTTCACACCGAGCTCTCCCACCCTTCTTCCCTCCCGCCCTGCCTAGAGGCTGGGACCACCTGAGATGCCCGTAACTGCCGCTACCCTCCCAGCTGGATGGGGTACTCAGGCAGCCCAGGGGGCTGATCTGCTGGGTTTGGAGCAATTAGTTAGCCTCACCAAGGGGGAAGTAATTAGTCATTAATTCCCACTGTGAGAATGTGTGGAAAAACTGGGGCAATCAGAAGGTTTCCAGACAAAGAGGAAAGGTCTGTCTTGGGATGCCATGTGGCCTTGGCTCATGGGTGAGTAATGTTTAATGCCACTTCGGGGACTCTCCTGACATCACTGGTTAGGAAAAGGCAAACCTCCTGTAGCTTGATGCACAGAGAGACTCATCCTCATGGGTGGAGAGAACCCCATCCCCACTCGCGGTAACAATGCCGGGCCCTTATGAACCACGCGCTGTTTTCTGTGTCTCACACACGATTACTCCTCATAAAGACTTTCTGAGCCGGCTGCTACGACACTCATACTTTACAGATGGGGAAACTGAGGTCCTAGCTGGGAAAGGAGAGATGCTGTGTTGATCTCAGGAGACTGGGGGTGCCTGCTACTCACACTCCACTGAGGTGGGCACGGCCTGTAAAATATCTGGTCTTAGGGCTGTGACCTGTGGCCACTAATTGGGGGGCAGGGCATGATTTTGGCTCCTAGGTTCCAGGCCCCAGAGTCTAACCTGCTTCCACCCTGCTGAGTGGAAACATGGATTCCAATTCTTCCATCTTCCTTTGCTTCAGCCCCCAGCACAACTGCCCACCAAGATATCCACAGGACTGGGACAGGTGGCACAGCTGAGCACCGAGGCAAATCACAGGCATGTGTCCTGTCCAAAGGGGGCAGCCACTCCTCAGCTGGCTGTTGTCACATTGGAAGGCGGGTCCAGTGTGGCCAGATCTTAACGGTTTTCCAGGGAAGCGAGCAATTGCGATTTTTATATGACATTCCCCCATACTTTAATGGCAGCAAACTAATTTGAAAAACGGTTTTTAAAAACAGCATTTTGTAAAGCACCTCTAAGGACCAGGTCTGACCCCCAACTTGCACCCCCCAACTCCAGAACAAAGCAAGCAGGACACCCAGACATTATTATACAATTCTGTATTGAGCGACGCATTTACAGAACGTGTTCTTTTTTTTAAATTTTAAACAAAGTTCATCAATCTCTCATAGAAACGGTTTTGTGGGTTTTTGTTTTGCTTTTACCGTTATAGGACGTGACCCTGACAAAGCTGTTCATGGGTCCACTAGCATTAAGTATANTTTGTTTTGCTTTTACCATTAGAGGACGTGACCCTGACAAAGCTGTTCACGGGTCCACTTCCATTAAGTATGACAGGATTTCCATGTTCAAAAGACCATACTAAGTGCTTAATCAAATCCCGTCACACAGAAGCCAGGTTTTGTTTTCTGAGGATCGTGGTCCGCTGTAGGCCCGGGTGTCACCGGTGTGTGGGTTTCAACAGTGAAAAGTGGTGTGTCCCCCATGGTGTCTTAATTGAGACAGGACGGTGGTGACTAAAAGGAGATGTTTTGTTTGTTCCAGATTTGATAACTCTGAAAATCGGTCACTGTTTCCTATTGTCAACATATAAAAATACCTTCATCTGGATAAAAATGTATACAGTGGAAAACTCTTCAATGCATAGCCTGGGTGGATGGAAAAGGAGACTTTCCTGCAGGGTTGATTGGCGTGGAGACTGCAGCCTGGGCTGGGTGCATGAGAGTTGAGATTTCTGGAACGGCCCTCAACTGTCCCCTTCTGGTCATNTGCATAGCCTGGGTGGATGGAAAAGGAGACTTTCCTGCAGGGTTGATTGGCGTGGAGACTGCAGCCTGGGCTGGGTGCATGAGAGTTGAGATTTCTGGAACGGCCCTCAACTGTCCCCCTCTGGTCATCGTGTTTCACTGGCCTGGTTTCAAAAATGCTTGTGGGACCCTTGAGACCCCTGCCAGACACCTCTCCCCAGCAACAAACTGGCTCTGATCACAGCCACCTTCCCATCATCATTCTGGATTCAGCGGGGAGGCAACCAACTCAGCCTTCGCACAGAGTTTGAAAGAGGGTAAGAAATAAAAACAGGAGGGCTACTCAACAATCAGTATGGTGGCTGTTCCATCCAGACTGGGGACTCTCCCCCTGGAAGCCATGAAGATGCTGGAGGGAAGGCTTCTCTGAGTTGGGGGGTTGAGTCTTTGCTCTCCAAAGGTCATGTGCTGGAAGGCAGGAGGGTGGACTGGGAGCCTGGGCTATGGTGGTCGTGCTGAGGCAAACTGAATCTTCTCCTTTGTTCTACGTGGACTTGGGAGTTGCAGACACCTTCCAGAGCAGCACCGGGGTCCACTTGAGATGTTGAGAAGGGGAGCAGGGGTCTCTGGTGTGATGAATCTACTTTTTGGTGTTGGGTGCTTGTGGGGTGACCAACACTGTTGTTTTCTTCAAACGCAAAAAGGGGAAGTTGGTGGCCACCAGTGGGGAGACTTCCTGTGCTGTGGCCATGACTCAGGTTGGGGAATGGGGTCACTCTGGCTCAAGCACCACCCTCCAATCACCTGCCCCCATGCCTGGCTTTCCAAAGGATCCAGAAACACATCCTGTCTGAAGTGGATGTACCGGGAGCTAGACACCCAACCTCCTCAGCGCACAGGTTTCTGGCTAGAGGGAATGTAGGCAGTTCGTTCTGTACCGTGTTAAGTCTCAGAAAGGTCATGTGGCCACGGCCCACATCTCTACAACATTTACAATGGCATGGGACACTCTGTGTTATCAGGGTTGCAAAGCAGACCACCAGGACGAAACACATCCTCAACGGCATGGAAGTTTTAGTTTAGAGTCTTTTGGACTTTTCTCTTTCCAGCACGGTTTCTGGGAGGGCAGGAGCAATGCACTGTGTCTCATAGACAGATGTTGAAAAAAGTCGCGGTTCAAAGGTTATCCAAGTTTTGGTCAGTCTTATAGTGTTTTGTGATGGCTTTGAACAATTGTCTTCTTTTAATCTCATCTAGTGGCAAAAATGACACAACTTCAGTGTATTCTTCGCAACAGTTGTGACAGCATCCTGATTTTATAACTCTGTAATATCAAAACAGCATCGGCTGGGAATAAATTCCAAAGGATCCTTTATTAAAATATCTAAAAGAGGTCTATAAATATTTATTCATTTTTCTAAAAGAGTATGGAGTTTCCAGGTGAAAACGTGGCGCCACTTTGCTTCTGTCTCCTGCAGAGAGGCCAGGGTGGAGAAGAGGGTGCTCCCTGGGGTGGGTGGGGTGCCAAGAAGAGGAGGCAGTGGCATCTGCCCCACCTGCTTGCTCACAACTTATAGAACTAGGATTACAACAAAAAACGTAAACAGCATAACACTGCTGTCCAGATCTTGGTGGTTGAGTTCCTCCCTCTGTACCCTGCCCTGTCCGGGAGGAGTGAGAGCGTGAGGGCGACCACTGGGTATGCCGCTTGCTCTCACCCTCAGAACTCCCACTCCAAAGCCTCCTCCCGATTGGCAGCCCTCTCTAGCCGGTAGATGATGCTGTTCAGGTTGGCCATCTTCTCGTGCCGCCGCTGCAAGTTGGGGTTCACCTTGGTGCTGGGGTGCAAGGCCCCAGCCGTGTCGGTAGTGGGGCTGGCACTCGGCACTTTGGCAGGGAGGGCACCGGGTGGGGATGGGGAGATGGGAGCTGAAGAGGAGGGGACAGGTGACACAGACATCATGAGGCCTGGTGAGGAGGCAGCCGAGGGTGAGTTCAGTGACATCTCCAGGCTGCAGCGCGAGGACTCTGAGGCTGACTTAAAACTTAGGGGGTCCGGGTGTAGCCGTTCTCCACCCCTGCTCTCCTGCGGAGGCTGTATCGAGAGGCAGTCTGGGGTGGTCCCATTTGGAAGAAGAGGCCCTGGGGCCACTTTTGGGAGTCCATCATTACCCGGAGGGTCCGGATGCATCTCCTTGGGAGAACCTTGGCCTTTGTCCGGCTCCCCTGAGTCCTGGAGCTGGCTGTCCGCTCCTTCCTCAGCATTGTCCTCAGTCTGTTCCTGCTTAATCCTCACCAGGGCTTTGTCCTGGGTGGTCAGGGGTGTGATGCTCTCCTCAGGGCCCTCCTGAAGCTCCAGTTCCTTCACGGTAGGCTTCTGGTCCTCAGCCTCAGAGTTGGGGCTCTGCGGAGTGGGGTCTGAATGGGAGTGGCCTGGTGGTAGAATGCCAGGACCCCCACTGGGGTCAAGATCTGGTTCATCTTGGGTCCCCTCCACCAACATCTCCCGGCGCATCCGGGACCTGGGGCAGAGATGATGGTAAGTAAGGGGAAGGAGGGGAACTGGCTAACCTCGGACTCACTCCACAAGAAGGGCATTGTGACCCCACCTACTTCCCTCAGGGCTCACTAGGCACTAAGCTCCTTCACATGCAACATCTTTAAGCCCTATCCACAACCCTGCAAGGTGGGTGCTATTATTATCCCCATTTCACAGAGGAGAAAACAAGGCTCAGAGATGTTGAGTGAACTGCCCAGGTCATACAGCCAGTAAGTGGCAGAGCCAGTACTTAAATTCAGGACTGCTGGATTCCAAAGCCCATGATCTAGATCTGCACTGTCCAGTACAGAGGCCACTGGCCACATGTAGCTCTTAAGCACTTGAACTGTGGCTAGTCAGAATTGAGATGTGATGTAAGGGTAAGATTTTGAAAGCTTAATACAAAAAAAAAAAGGTAAAAGATCTCATTAATAAAGTTTTTATATTGATTAAATGTTGAAATGGTTATATTTGTATATATTGGACTAAACAAAATATACTACAATTAATTTTATGTTTATTTTTTTAAAAAATGTGGCGACTAGAAAGTTTTATGACGTATGTGGCTTGCCTTATATTTCTATTGGAGCACTTCTCAAAGCAAAACCCAGATCTAGTCTGTGGCAACAACTCCCTGCTTCTTTCCTGAAGGGACTCTTAGATGTCAGCCCAGAAGGGGAAACTGAGGCACAGAGAGTAATTCCAGATCACCATGGCACACAAAGGCAGAGCTGGGACCAGAGTCTGGGTACCCTGAATTCTAGTCCAGAACCCATTTTTTCTTCAACAGTCTCCTTGCTTTGTAAGGGAAAGTTAGCCTCATATGTCAAGTTTTAGAAAGGAAAGGCTAGGGATGAGTCTAAGCCCATTAATTATTTTCCTAATAGCAAATGAGATCCAGAGAGGTCAGATGGCTCATCCAAGGTCATCAAGCAACGGGGCTTCCTCAGCTTCTCTGACGCTGTAGCTTCTGCCCATTTATATTAGTAATACAGTACATGTTATTGATATGTAATACTAACTGTTGTAATTATTATAAATATCATAATAATGGGTGCTTATATGTGCTGGGCACCGGGGCAACTACTTTTTGCAGATTATTTCATTTATTTTTCATAATAACCTTGTGAGGGGGGTATTATAATTATCACTCCCATCGATAAATGAGACAAGGCTCAGAGGCACAGGGAATTGCCATGATCACAGAGCCAAAAAGTAGTACAGTTGGACTTCGAACCAAGAAGTCTGGCTATACTCCCCTGCCTCCCTGGCTCCCTGCCCAGTTGGGGGATAGGGCCCCATTCCAGGAACCTGGACTTAAGAGGGACTATGAGGGATCATCTAATTCACGTCCCTCTCTCAGTCTCCAGTCCCTCTACAAAGGTGGCCTTGTCCACTTTACAGGGGCTCTGTCATTTCCCTCAGTCCCCACCCTAGTGGTTTTCAGTGAGGTGGGATTTGAGGGAGGTTTAGGATGACTCAATGCCTGAAGCTCCATCATGAGAACTTCCAAACTATAGATCAGATATAAATATGAAGCATACTATAGTATAAATTAGTCTTTGTAATTCCCAACTCTCAAATCCGTAGCAGGGTCACCCTGGTAACTTTTTCTCAAAACATCCTGTTTACCTTTCTCAGACCTTACTGAAGTTTGTAATGATGTGTTACTATGAGTGCATGTTTAGTAGTGACCTATCCTGATGGTAGCTCAGAGATGCTAAGGGTAAGAACTTAGTCTTGTTCTCTTCAGTGCCTGGCACACAGCAGGTGCTCAACAAACATTTACCAAATGAAATACTGTACCTTCTGTAGCTAAAACTCTTTGAAAGAGAGTCCATTCTCTTTGCTCTTTGGTGCAAACCCCTACTCATCCTTCCAAACCAAGCTCAAAGCCCCATCTTCGTAGTCTTCACAGGAGGTAGAATCCCCTTCCCTCAGCCCCTATTCTTTTCTGTTTACAGCCTTCATTAGGTTGTGGTAAGATTATCTAGCCCATGATTTTAAGTTCCCTAAGGGCAGGGATGTTGGCCTTGAACCCTGTTTCTCCAGGCCCTGGCTTATTGTACACACTTGGCAAGTATTTGTTGAATGAATATTGTGGATAATAACGGAGTGCTCAGTTCCTGAGGGGAGCAAAAGGGGTGGGACGTCCCTATTTCCCCAGGGAGGGAGGGAGGATGTGTGGCTTTAAGCACCTATTTCGTTAGACGCTGGCAGGCTCTGGGTGTGAGCCAGACAGCCAGTGGCCCTGTAGAGAGTTGGCGTTCCAAGGACCCATTTGACCCCTATACAGCACTGTTGGGACCAGGTTCCTCACGTGTAAAACAGGGACTTGCCCAAGACACGCAGCCAAGGCGGAACTTGAACTCGGGCCTGTGTGATGCCCATGCCTGGGCTGTGGAGAGAGACGGCAAGTGTTCCACCCTTCCAGGCTCCTCATTCCTCATCTCCCTTGGAGATCAAGACCTTCTCCCAGCCCCTGGAACACACAGACAGGCTCTCCTCTCTGGCACTGCATGGACACCAGACATTTCCTGCTCAGGAAACTTAGGGGGGCGGCACTCAGAGATGGTCCCTTAAATCCCATCAAGCCTTCTTTACAGGGCTCTCAGCCAACCTCAGGAAGCCCCTCTGCAGTCTCCTCGGACCTGCCAGATACAGTCAACACCCCAACAAACTCCCAGAAAGCCCAGCCCACGGCAGGTCAGTGATTCTAAGACAGGGGCTTGGGGAGTGGGAAGAGGTAGCCACAGAAACAGGAAGCGCCCGCTCCCCAGGGGGCTGCCAGAGGGCTTTCCTCTGGTCTAGGGAGTGGGAGAGGCCAAACCCCCAATCAGGGCTCCAACATGAGGCTCAGGCCTGTTCCCCAAACACCATTCCCTGTCCCTCATACGGGCAGACACAGAGCAAGCTGGGGAAGTCGTAATGAAGATAGTGACAACAGTCAACAGCCACTGAGTACTAATGTGCCAGGTATTTGATGTAAATATGTTAGCCCATTGCATCCTCAGGACAACTCTGTGAAGTAGGTCCCATCATGGTCCCATTTTACAGGTTAGAAGACTGAGACTCAAGGAGGTGAAATGACTTGCTCAGGGTCTCATAGCTGGAAATGGTGAAGCTGGGGTTTATATCCAGGTTTGCCTACATTCTAAATCTAAACAGCCCTGCAATTTGGTTTCTCCATCTCCCAGAGGCCATCAATGCTGGGCTCCCTCCAGGCCCTAGGGTGGGGAAGGCGGTCTGGCAGAGACCCTGCCCACCCCCCAGCAGGTCCTCCCCAGTCATCCCACCTGTAGTTGTGGAACCAATTGATGACGGTGTTAGTCTTGAGGTTGAGCTGGAAGGAGAGGAGCTCAATGGTCTGCTGCGAGGGGTAGGGCTCCAGCTGGTAGGCCTTCTTCAGGGCCTCCTTCTCCTCGGGTGCCAGCACCACGCGGGGCTTCTTGATCTGCAGGAGGCTCAGGTCCTGGGGCTGCAGGCAGGGGCTGGGGCACTCGGAGCACGTGGCTGGAGACTCGCTGTCTGAGCCGGTGCTGATGAGGCCGTACCTGCGCTTCAAGTAGGCTGGGACCGGGAGGGGAGGGAGGGAGGGAGGGCTGAGAGGGGCCTGACCAAGGGTCATCAATAGCCCCTCCCAACCCCCCAGGGGCAGCAGGGGCAGGGAACCCAGTAAATGCATCTCAATCTCAAATCATCAAAATGGGAGGGAAGCCCACTTCAGAACGGAGGAGGTAAGGGTCTCATGTGACCCTCACAGCGATCCCTGCGGTAAATGCTACCAACTCTTCATTTCAGATGAAGCAGAAGGAGGCGCACCGAGAGCGGAAGTAACCTGATAAAAAGGTCACACAGCCAGGAAGTGGCAGGCCAAGTTCTCAATGTCAAAGTTGTCTGGCCAACAGCCCAGCTGTGGCCCTGGGCCACATGGCCCTCACTGACCTTGGGCTCTCTTGTCTCATGAACTGCCCTGGACGACAACTTTTCAACTACTTGTACCTCATTTCCCAACCGGACCCTGAGCTTTTTAAGGTCCAGGAAACCCTTATGCCCAGCATAAGATTGGGCGGGCACACAGTAGGCGTTTTCAGGGATAAAATATTGGACAATGTAAGAATCTGCAATCTCCTTGCCCCCCACCCCTACCCCAGGAACCTTGTTGGCCAGGTCAGTTCGTGCTTTGTTGTGCAGAATCTGGGAAACTGGCACTGGGGATCTATCCATATATTATACATTAGGGAGCTGGTGCGGAGGACTTGGGGGG